AAAAAAATGTCTCTACCATCAAGCCACAGAGCCTGGTAGTAAAATTACTAGTTTGAACCCTCATGAAATTTGCTTCCGCCCCCTGATCAGCTAAATCTATGGAGGGGTGGCAGACACATGTATTCATCAAATTAGCTTCCATGTAAATATGTCCATGAAAATAACTCCATAGTGTCACGCCCACGGGGGGCGGGACCGGACTGGTGTAGCTCCTTCTCCACGGATGAAGGATCAGTTAAAAGGGGAGAACTGTCAGCATGCAAATGCGAAGTTTTGAGCCGATGAAAAGAAGCCGTGCTGAGCGATTACTTGTCTTCCGTCTCCCCAATCTCCTGTACCTTTCCCAGTTACCTGTTGTTGGACCTCTACCTCTTGTGCCTTCCCTCCACAGCCCAGAACCCGTCCCTGACTTACCTGTCCTGCTGAGTCCGGCTCCCTGTGTCCTGCTCTCCTCGTGTCCCGCCGTCCTGTGAATCTCCGTCGGACTGACTCCCTGGCTGCTGACCTCCCCGCCTGTTTACCGACTTCGATTCTCGCCCTACGATTCTGGTTTTGTTCTCCACGGCTCCCCCCCGGAGAGAAGTTCCCTTGCTCGACACAGTCGTTCCTCTTCCTAGGAAGGCGGCGCTTCCTTTAACCGGGGTAGCGGGAAGCTTTCTCTCTGTTCTGTCACTGCTTGTATTAAAGTTCAGCAATTCTCGCATTACTGGATCTGTGCTTCTCTCCTTACCTGACACATAGCTCCAAAATAAATCCATATTTTGCATTTAAAATATGATACAAATGATGACATGAAATATTGTTTTGGTTGGTTTGTTTTCATTTAGAAGCAGTGAGTGGATGTTTGAAACAGCTCGGTCAAAATTTGGTCGTAGGCCTATTATGTCTTTCTTCCAGCACAACGGGAAAAACTCTAAAATAAACATCCAAAACAGTCCAATGTGTGATGATTAAACTAAGCAGTCAGTAGTTTACTGCAGTGAATTCTTACACAAGACGTTTTGTATTCACTTGACTGGCACATAGTTGCAAAGACAGGTGTGTAAACCTAGAGTACTGACCTGGTCTTGTGAGTATTTTAAGCAATGCGGGACTGATATCTGCTCATAAATTATAGAAATAATCACAGTGATCTTATAGCAGGATGCTTGAATTTGTCATAGACACTAAAGGAGTACTTTTCCTGCTCCCACTATTTATGTATAAAGATAAATAGGGTATTTTAATAATCTCAAACCAGAAAATCTGGAAAAACAAGTGTTTCTATTCAGACCAAGGCTGAAACATGAGCTGTCCAGTATTTCATATTTCTCCTTGTACTGGAACATAAACCAGCTCTTATGAGATTTGCCACAAGAATGATTTGGCAACAGCAACAGCAAATGCCATTTCATAATGTCTTCATAAATGTCTTCATAAATCATAGACCAAGGATCTATGAGTATCACACAAAACATCTGTAAAGAATAGCAACATCTGTTCACACTCTGAAACATACCAGCAGTACCAAAGTCAGAAAAATTGCCACTCTGAATATTTCATTATGTCATATTACACCACATACTTAATATAACGTCTTACATATGCACAAAACTTGATATTTTTATTGGGGAAATTCATTAATTTTTCTCTAATTAAAGTCAGATCTCATTTTGGTTAAGGACAGCGACTCACCAGTTCCAGCTTCTAGAGGCCTCCTGCTTTGTTCCTTTAAAATACTTACCAGTACAAGTGAGTACAAATTAGAAATATTAATACATGCAAATAATTTTTAAACTTAAGTGGTGATGATGACGATTATTAATATTATTAGGTGCCTTGCATAAAAATCTACCAGCATGGCTTGTGTATATGTTATAAGCCTATGAAATGCATTTGCCCTACCCCGACCTTTGCCCTCTACCCACTGGGGGCTTTCTCCCTGCTATTGAAGGAAATCCGGTGGCTATGTGGAAAGATCAAACAAAATGACGGACTCCGAAGGCCCACTAGGCCACAGAGGGATGGGCTGCCATCACGACTCTGCATTGGAACATTTAACCTATTTCTAAACATTATCATATCCACTGTTGTAAGGACTTTTTAAATTACAAATATATGAAAACAATTAATTTCCTCCAAGTCGCTTATTTTCCTCCAATTATTCTCAGTTTAAAAAATGTACATAATATACAAGTTATTATAAATAAGCTGTCCCGACAGTCCTACAACTTCCATTCTAGGATGTTATAAATGTGTATGTGAAGGCTCTATGAGAGTGACTGCTTGGTTGTCCATAGGCAGCTGTTTTTTGGAGAATTCTTTGGCAGTGTAGCCAATTCACTTCCCTGACTTACCAGTAGAGGGAGAACAGCAGCTGTTCCATTGATGAGAACTTGTGAGACTGTATTACTGCCAGGAGCGTAGCACCAAATTCTGGGCCCTATGCATAAACAGTGCCCATGCCCCCCCCCGCAAAAAAAAAAAAAACAGCCTAATCACACAAGACTTCACTGGAATTTGGTTTTATTTGTAGAATGATTAAAAGCTATGACAGGGAATGTCACCAAAGGTAGCCTAACATCATAGGCCTGCATGAAAGTTGAACACTTTTGAAACGGTGAAACGGTGTGCCTGTAATCAGGAGGCCACCGGTTCAAACCCAGCCTCAGCACATCTGCTGGTCCTTGAGCAAGGCCTTTAACCCCCAGCTCCCTGGGCACTGCTACAGGTTGCTGCCCTTCACAAACAACTCTGCAAAAAAAAGAGCAAGTTGAGGGAGGCATAAAGACAATTTCCCCACAGGAATCAATAAAGTAGCTATTATTACTACACTATTTTAATATCGTTGTGGGACAATGTGAGACAAGACACATTCCAAATGTAATATATCATTGTAGATATTGTTACATGCCGTAAGTACTTTGGGAAGGTGTACAGGACACTTCAGTCTTCTGCCCCATGTTCTACTCGCTCCACTCGTCTGCTGCAGCATCAGCCCGCCTCTCGATTCCCAGCCACGCCTCTTGCGCCTTCTGACCTGGCCCTGTATTCCGGTCGACAAGGATAAAGCCTGCTGATCGCATCTAGCTCGAGCTCTTGCGGTGTTGGTTTGCTGTTTTCTGATTGACTCTTGTGTATGACTGTTTGGTTTCCCGGTTTCTGATTTTCTGCTTTGCCCCTTTTCGTACTTTGTTTGTCTTCTGGTTTTGAACTCTTGCTTAGGTCCTGACTACTCTCTTTGCTCGCCCCTTCGGATACCGTGTTTTTTGACATTTTATGAACTTCTTTAATGATAAAATTACAAACATTAGACTTCAAACATGTTTCAATGGCTCACAATTAACTTCAGTTCAAGGCAGAACACACCCTTAATGTCTTTGAATTGATTAATGAACAAGAGCTAAAAACTATTATAATTAAGATTAAACCAACCACTGGTCCACTGGACCCAAACCCTGTTAAGCTTCCTAAAGAATCCCTGGGAGTTCTGGCAAGACCATAACTGCCATAATGAATACGTCCTTATTATCAGGTGATGGGCCTGACCAACTTAAAGTAACAGTAATCAAGCCACCACTGAAGAAGCCAAGTTTAGATCCACAGGACCTCAGCAATTACAGACCTATCTCTAACGTACCATTTTTGTCAAAAGCTCTGGAGAAGATAGTTGCTGCTCAACTTCATTCATACTTGGGGAGATACAACATACTGGATTGTTTCCAGTCTGGCTTCTGCCCGGATCACAGCACTGAAACTGCCTTGACTAAAGTCGTATATGACATAACAACGGCAACTGATTCTGACAGCGCAATTGTGTTAATGCTTCTGGACCTCAGTGCAGCTTCTGACACGGTTGACCATTCTGTCCTATTTACAAAGACTTAAATTTGAGGTTGGGTTGTTCTGCTTCTGACACGGTTGACCATTCTGTCCTATTACAAAGACTTAAATTTGAGGTTGGGTTGTGTAAAACGGTGTCAAAGTGGTTTAAATCGTATTTGACTAATTCTTATCAATATGTTGATCGGTGTCAGATAATACACAGGCCAATGTGGAGAACAGACTCATTGATGGACTTGGCCTCAATCACAGCTTAGACCTTGCTTTTAGCAAGCCAGTCCACTCTTTTCTGTTTTTAATAATGTTAACATTGGTTGGGCAGCCATTTGACCTCATTTTTTTTCTGTCTTTGGTTCCTCTCTTCCATTGTCATCTGGCTTTCTTTATTTCATTTCTTTCTTTCCTCTTCCCCATTCTCTACTACTCTCTCTAATGTAATGTTTCGCAACACATTCCTGTAACGTGCCTTGGGATAACTCTCTCGTGAAAAGTGCTATATAAAAATAAATTGAATTCATAATTTAGTTATTCACATTGGTACCTAGCATGTGTGGTTATGTTACCAATACCAGATATTGACACTTTAGACAAGTCTTACAGAAGTTCTGTTCCATATTTTACACTGAAATATGTTTTTTTAGCATTTAAACACAAAATGAACCAGACAAAACAAGAAAAGCATATACTGTACTAAATAGTACAGTACTGTACTATTATTAAATAATAATCTTAATTATTAAATAATTAAGATTATTAAAGTTTTAAACAGACTTTTTTGAGGGCTGAGGAGAAGGTGGTACTATCCAATATTCTGTTCCCTTTTACCCTTTTTTCCCTTTGTCACCTTTATGAAACAAAATTTGCTGTAAATTTTTGTGCAGTTCTCATACGTTTTCATTTAGGGTATTTAACACGTATTTAAAGTAAGGAAATTGTATAATAAAAAAAACATTTTTTTAATATTTAGGTATAAAATAAGCTAAATATACAATTTTCTTGATCTATTAATACATTTACTTTTATTTATGATAAAATTTGGCGATGTAAGTATAATATATCACAGGACTTATTATTATTCTTGCACATAATTCACCATTCAATGGATTAATCGCCTATTAAAACCGAACTTTTATTTTGACACAATAAGCGGAAATAGCGACCGGAAGTCTCCCCCTGCTTGCTTGCAAACAGAAGTAGGGAAAACGGAAGTACTAGAAAAATCTTCATTTTCTGGATCAAGTCAGCAAGGATTTGTTTTACCATGGGAGGTGGAGACTTAGTAAGTATCTAATATTGTTATATTTTCTTATCAAAATATGATATTTTGTTACATATAAACCGTATTTGTCTTCAGGGAGTCCGAGTTGAGTGGTCTTTTTTACAAAATTGCTGAAGGTTACTTAACCCAACATTGCTTCAACCTGATCGTAATTCTCAGAAATATGCTGGCAGTAATACCTGCCCTATAAAGGTTTGTTTCTTCTTTAAAAAACATGCCTATATTCTCGAAAATATCCGGTATTTTGCCCGTGATTTGAACAGCCTATATTGGAACACGACAACGGAATGTCCTGTTTGCACAACGTTACGGTTATACACTTTTTAATATACGCTTATAAATAGACGTATATGCTAGAATTAAATTCATGAGCGATGGTTTTCGAAAGTCTGCCAGATATTTAATTTCGACCAGCACTAATCAACTGGATAACTCTTTGATGGTAATGTTGGGCAAAATGACCGGAAATATAATTGCTTGATGGTCGGCATACTCAACCGTGTAAAGAAATTAGAAATTTGGAGGACTGTGGAACAAACAGTTCCATTGCACTTACCTTTTTTGTTCTTTATACAAATTTATCTGACAGCAAGTAATAGGCCTAACACAATCGTAGAGTCCACTAACTCCTTCGTGATGCGTTGTGAGAGTTTTTTAGATTTATACACCTGTGGATGTATGTATGTGCAGATTCATAGTAACGGAGATGGTTACATGTGATTCTTTTTTTAAACAGTATTGCCAGCAACTGGTGAAAATAATATAATCAGGGGTGCGCATAACTGGTACGCAAGTACACATTCACCTTTAAGAACGATATGTGCGACAGTCGATTGTTTGTAAAAGCGCAAATGCGTACTTATTTTATGTGCATTTGCGCTGCTATGAAAACAAAATATACAAATATAATGTATTGTAATCTTTATATGCTAAATCTACTTCATTTACGGTATACAGGTTAAAATGTAAGATATTTTCTTGTCATAGCAGCGAAAATTCACATAAAATAAGTATGCATTTGCACTTTCACAAACAATCGATTGTCGCACGTATAGTTCTTAAAGGTGAATGCGTACTTGCGTACCAGTTATGTGCACCCCTGGATATAATAATACTTTTTATCATTTGTACAAATGCACAGAAATTACTTTGATTTTCAAATGGACTTTTCACAGGTTAGTGTGCCTGTAACTGGAACATCACGGTTCAATTCTTTTGGCTGGCTGAATGATTGTGCCATTGGGCCCTTAAGCAAGGCCCTTAACTCTAATTGCTCTAGGGACACTGGCTAACCCTACTCTCTAGTCTACCAAATACAGGGCTGGTCAAGCCATTAGGTGACCTAGAGTGCCATCTTCTCCGGAGTTGCTGACTTACTAGACAGCTTATGTTTTTGTGCATTTTTCTGATTCTGAGCGCAAATTTTAAAAGGGAAGGAAAATGCTGAAATGGCCTGTTAATTCAGTTAGCATTAATCCAGGTTCTGTTATCCGTTTTCTTTCAGAACTTGAAAAAGAGCTGGCATCCACAAACTCTGAAGAATATCGAGCGTGTGTGGAAGGCTGAGCAACAACATGAAGCAGAGCGCAAGAAGATTGAAGAGCTGCAGAAGGAGCTGCGAGAGGAGAGAGCTCGGGAGGAGATAACTAGATATGCACAGGAGACGGGTGCTCTTAGGTACCTGCTAATGTTTATATCTTTATTCGGTGAAAGGCTTCACCTTTGATCTTTGTCAGTAGGCCCCTGAATTTCTGAAAAAAGGTTCATAGTCATTTCTTGTTTAGTGTATTCCCTGGTTTAACAGTCATGTGTTCACTTTCAGAAAGAAAGATGACCGCTTGGACTGGATGTACCAGGGGCCAGGGGGTCAAGTGTCCAGAGAGGAGTACTTGCTGGGGCGACCAATTGACAAGCAAATTACCCAACAGTACGAGGAACAAGAGAGTGGTCCATGTGCCCAGACTGGCCTTTTGCCAGGCTCCATCTTCAATCCCACTCTCCCCGCTTCCACCCTTGACTTAGCTGCCAAGATCAGGGAGGACCCACTCTTTGTTATTCGGTATGTCATTTGCTTAGTCATTGATTCTTCTGTGCTATTCAGTTGTTTTTCACTGAGGAAAAAAAACATTTATACTTGGTTTTACAGAGTTGTTTTTCAGTTATACAAATTAAACAGTTGTGACCAAGTGAATGTTCCCGTGCATGCTTCATTATATCTTTTTATTAATGTGTTTATAGCTCAATGTGTTTTTAACTGCCAGTTAGTTCAAACCAGCTAGCAGCCAGTATGTAATTCCACAAAATAAAGCCAAACGGCCAAGTGATCCAAGGGAGATAATTCTTTATTATTGCTTTATTGCTAATCTGATTGTCTTAGCATGTGAAAATGTTCTTTGAAATACTTAAAGGAAACGAGAGGAGGAGAAAAAAAGAAATATTCTTACCAACCCAGTTAAAATGAAGATGATCAAAAAAATGGTAAGTCAATGGCACTTTACAGTTTTTTCAGAAAATTATTGTGTTTTGCAAAGTCAGCTCAAGGTGAAATATTTTAACCCAAAAAAGCATATCTGGCAAATGCAATTAGACTGATATAGATTTTCTGAATTGCATGGAAGGCACATGGAACTATTGTGAAAATACAATACAAATGTAGGTACACACAAACAACCACAGTCACAGTTTAGGTTGAGTTTCACCTGTGCTCAACTTAGATTCATTATTATTAAATTTTCTAAAACTACATCTGAAAAATTTTAAAAGTTTTAAAACTTTAAAAGTTTTTTTTTTAAGGAATGCATCCATGAATATGTGGAATTTTAGACCTCTTTTAAAGCACATCCTTATTTTTCAGACATTTTGTAGACCCAGAGTTGTCATGATGACAAGTGGAAAATCGGATGGATGCATATGTAATGTGTTTCATGGATATTAGAAATAAGCTGAGCTGAGGCAGTGTGTATTATATGAAAATTACTGTTCTTTTTTTGCATTTTCAGTTGCCTTACAAGTTGTGCTTTTGAAATTCATGGTACACGTATTGTCAAACTTACTGCATATATATATTTTTTTATCTTCTCAAAGCTGCGCCAGAATTTGGAGAAGGAGAAGAAAAAGAAGAGAAAGAAGGAAAAGAAAGAAAAGAGGAAAGAAAAGTACAAGAAACACAGCACAAGTGATGAGTACTCTGGCTCTGAGGAAAAGTCAAAGCACAAGCAGCATAAGTATGGCTATTGTACTGTAGTCCATTATCTAATAGATTGTTGAGTTTTGGATTATTAGTGGTAACAGTAGCAGTGCTTGTTGGTTGCTCAGTGTGTCGCAATGCCTTCCACTTTCAGGGTTGAACTTCAGTTGCTACACTATATTGCCAAAAGTATTGGGACACCTGCCTTTACACACATGAACTTCAATGACGTCCCATTCTTAATACATAGGCTTTAATATGGAGTGGGGAGGCTGTCCACAAAGTTTAGGAGTGTGTTTATGGGAATTTTTTACCATTCTTCCAGGAGAGCATTTGTGAAGTCAGGCACTGATGTTTGACGAGAAGGCCTTGCTCACAGTCTCTAATGAAACTGTCCCAAGTGGCTTTGAATTTTGTAACATTAAGAGTTCCTTTCACTGGAACTAAGGACCCAAGCCCAACCCTTGAAAAACAACCCACACCATAATCCCCCCTCCACCAAACTTAATACTTGGCACAATGCAATCAGTCAAGTACTGTTCTCCTGGAAACCACCAAACCTAGACTTGTCCGTCGGATTGCCAGTCAGAGAAGCATGATTTGTCACAGCAGAGAACATGTCTCCACTGCTCTAGAATCCAGTGGCAATGTGCTTTACACCACTGCATCCGACGCTTTGCATTGCGCTTGGTGATGTAAGGCTTGGATGCAGCTGCTCGGCCATGGAAACCCATTCCATGAAGTTCTCTAGCTCAAGAACAGTGCGTAATCTGAAGGCCACACAGTTTGGAGGTCTGTAGCTATTGAGACTGCAGACAGTTGGCAACGTCTGCACACTGTGTGCCTCAGCATGCGTTGTCCCCGCCCTGGGATTTTACGTGACCTACGACTTTGTTGAGTTGCTGTTGTTAAGTTTCATGAATGGACTTATTGCACAGGTGGCATCCTATCACGGTACCACGCTTGAATTCTCTGAGCTCCAGAGAGTGACCCATTCTTTCACAAATGTGTGTAGAAGCAGTCTGCATGCCTAGGTGCTTGATTTTATACACCTGTGCCTATGGAAGTGATTGGAACACCTGAATTCAATGATTTGGAGGGGTGTCCCAATACCTTTGGCAATATATTGTATCTCTCTCTGTGGAGTTTACATGTTCTCTGAATATTATGCATTTTAAGTGTTATGTTGTCTGCATTTGAATATTATTGATTATTAGCCTGTTAGATTGTGGTACCTGCTGCAAATCTTAACAGGAAAAAAATATATTTTTGTGGTTTAGGTCTCTGCACAGAGACATGGAAAATCCTGCCAGCTCCTCCACTCACAGATCTGGATATGGACTACAGGTTAGTGGCATGTGATTAGAACTACTTGCCAGAGTGAATAACAGTGACTGCATTGTGTCACAGCATGTAGCATTTTTTATCTAAAAATACTGTAATCTGAGTTTATGACCAGGTAAAAATTGATATAAACAAGTTTTTATCCTAATCAGGACAAGTGTTTCTATATTTTCCTGAGTTTTAATAATTCATTTTGTTCTGTGTGAAGGGCATTGTTTTTGTTTAAATCTTGTGCTGTACATGCCACTCTGTTAAATCCTGTTGTTCCTCAATGAGGACAGTTTGGGCTTTAGGATGTGGGAGTGTGCTATTTATCATTCCACCAGTTAATTTATATAAAAAAACAAACGTATGCATATGTAATATATATTTTTCCCCCTTTGATCTCAGGAGGCTTTTTTTTTTGCTTAACATTAACAACAACAATACAAGGGTTAGGGACCGTTAATAAAGAGCGTGATTTCCCCTGCAAGCAAGTCTCCATGTCTCTCTGCTCCCATGATGCCTCGGTCCGCCCGTCGCCACACTATATTGTGTTTTTCTTTAAAATTTTTACTATAAAAACCAGAATATTAATTAACAAAAGTTATTATTTGGTAGGCTTAATCAACAAATTAATCAAATTTCAATGCTTTTTTTATGGGGTAAAATTGCCTTGGTTCACATACAAATTGGTTCACGACCACTTTCTTGGAACGGATTGTGTTCGTGAACCGCAGGCACCACTGTAAACGCAGACCTGAAATTGGCCGGGAAGGGACTGAACATAAAAGCAATTATTGAATGAAAACACAGAGAGAAGTGTTATTTAATATTTCTTCCACTGGCCTTTAAATTTAAAAATATTTTTTTCCTTTTTATTCCAGTTTCCAGCCAACAGTCGCCATCATACAGACTGTCACCAGGGAAAGTCTTTTAGTGGCAAGTCAAGCCAGTCCCCTGTTTCTCCAAAAGCAGAACAGAAAAATCATACTACATGTTCCAGTGATCCTGCACAAGCGCAAAGGAACAGTGCTCAGGACAGGGAGCGTGCTTACAAACGCTATGGCACAATCCGACCCAAGTACGTCAGTATAGCTTGTTAATACCCTTTTGTATCCAAGTTATTCCCTACCTCTCACAGACAAACATCATCATTTATTCATTTACTCCTTTGTGTTCAGGATGTCATCGGAGGAGAAGAGGAGGAAGCGAGACGAGATGCTGGATTTTGCACGGCAACGTGATAAGGAGAGAATTGGCAATGTACAGAAATACCTGCGTCAAGATGAAGAGGAAAAGGAACGTGATGGGATACAAGATCGCCACATTGGCTTCATACAGTGAGTCTTACCTTGTTTCTGAACATTCGAAGTTGACTTTACAATGGTTTGTGCATCTGTTAGCCCTTTTCTACCAGTCGATGCCTAATTTAGAACTGGGTCGGGTCCACGCTATTCCAGTGTTGATTACCTGGTGCCATACAATTGCTGGTATGACACTGCAAACCCATGTCTTTGGTGCATGGGGACATGCGCTGTAAACTTTAGCAGAACAGGATTTATTTCCAGTGATTGATCATGTTTGGTCTTAGCATTAGGTGAAAATTAAAGTAAAACAAGACTACCAAAACTACAAGAAAAAATCTCTCAAAGTGGCATGGGACAGAAAAAGCTTGAAAGTGCTCCAATATTCTATATTCGTTGTTGGCAGACAGCTTCTAAAGTGTGATTGCAACATGTTTCTTTATGGGTACACATAATCACAGGGTTGCCAACTTTGGTCAGCTGGCTACCATGAGATTTTTAGTTTGAGGCAAATATGTACACATATTTACACGCATGTAAGTTTTATTACCTTGTAAATAATCTGTAGGGTTTGTGCATTACTTCCAGGTGTTTCTAGCTAATTTAATATAGATTTGCCATAAGATTTCTTGCATGAGAGTTTGAAAGTGTAAATGTTCCGTTAGATGCGTGAGAATTGGCAACCCTGCAATCGAAGATTGGTGCTTGCTTTCCCAAGTATATGTTAGAGACGGTGATACAGGTAATCGATTGACACTGGTGAAATGGAGCTTTTGGATGAACTGTGTCCATTTTGAACCCAGGGACTACTGTGATCAATCAGTGGCTTTTTTGTGGATATGCCCAGTGATGCCTGTCTTGTCCACAACTGCAAAATCTACACAGCAAAAATGCAGCAAATAGTTATAAATGTTAATTAGTAATGCTTTGTAATGTGGTTAACTAATGTTCCATGAAAAGGTTTTGATTCATGCATTCTTAAGAATAGGCGCTTAATTAGCATTAGCCTACACATGATCAAAAAACATTCCAGCATCACTCTGCACAAATTTCAGACACTGTATTTTACTGTGGCAACTGTGGCATCTTGTTTTTGTCAACGGATTCCTATATTCATGAGTGACCAAATAGAAACATCGTAGGCTACTACCATGCTTTCATTTTCAAAATAAATGGGTTCCTGCAGATTTCAGTTAGAATCACAATGTAAATTAAACAATCCATGTTCCACATTTTCCTTGTTGCCACAGTCATTGAGGGAATAATTCCCTATTTCTTGTTTTCTGAATTATGCTTCTTGCAAAGCCATGCCTTCGATTTCAGGTTAAGCACGGTGGGCATGACCATGCTGATGAGGGGAGAATATGCTTAAAAGCGTGTAACTTTTTCAGCACTTTTTTTTTATTATACATAAACACCAGATGGGACAATAGACCTTTTGCTTTTAACCAGTAGAAATGTGGTCCGGTTCTTGGGTTGGGCCACTTCGGCATCACCTGAGAATCAGCTCCCAGTTAGCATCAGCATGGCACTAGTGGGAAAGAGGTATGTGTTTAGTGTAAAGGGGCATCTTTTTGGTCGTTATACCAGCCATGTTTAAAATATTGGAATGAGACTTGTGCGCTAACCACATGACTATTCCCTGCTTGGCAGTGACATGAAGCTGGAAAGTGCTGCCTCTTCTCTGGAGGATCGGGTGAAGAGGAACATTCACTCTCTCCAACGGACCCCAGCTGCCCTTGAGAAGAATTTCATGAAGAGATAACATGCCTGAACTAAGACCTGCTTTAGTATATAACCAATGTAATTATTCATATATAAAGGTCCCAAACAGTTACCTCATGAACACCCTCATCAATACCACCTTTCGCTTTTTTTTTCTTCTCGATAAGATTGTTGTATATTGTCAGTCACAATTCCATATCAGTTTGTAATTGTGGATGGAATTCCCACCCTTCATAACATTTGAAACCCAGTTTTAGTCTTTTTTTAACTTACTAAATGTCTTCAGTGAAGTGCAGTACTTATTGAATTTAGTTATTTTTATGAATAATACAAATACGGTCTGTGCTAAAAGGGGATATTCAAGTGTAATGCCACTGCAGGTGTATACCTTTGGTTACCATTTCTACCTTAACTGGAGGTGGCGCTAAACCTTTTCCAAAGCAGTTGTGGTTTAATTACTCATGGCCAATAATGAAGCATTTCTTTGACTGAGGTATAACCAGTATGCTAAAATCTAAAAACACCACTTCTGTAGGTTTAGGTTTTTTTCTGCTGCTACATAAAAAGCAGATGGATATTTTTCAGATCCTATCATATCTTGACTAAGAATGTTAGATTGACCTAACATGTTTTTCAATTAAGTACTTTGCCAAAATCTGTATTTTCTGATATGAACAAATTAAATGGGCCAATTCAGCACATTGTTTTCAGTGTTTATTATGTACGGTGGCCCCTAGAGACAAAACACACACAAAAGAAAAAGCAGAAACAAAATGAAAAAGCGCAGCAAATTAAAAAAACACACAAAAGAAAAAGCAGAAACAAAATGAAAATGCGCAGCAAATTAAAAAAACACACGCAAAAGAAAAAGCAGAAACAAAATGAAAATGCGCAGCAAATTAAAAAAACACACGCAAAAGAAAAAGCAGAA